GACAATCATTCACTCTAAGTAGAATTTCAAGTTACGAGGCCACACCCTTAAAAACGTTTGTGTCTAAATTGTGTATTGCTAGAGAAATTCGGAATGTGATTGAAATACCTAAGCATGACGGGGAGTGGTCGGACGCAGACTCCTGACCATGCATATCCATCTCTCTCTCTCTCTCTCTCTCTTACCCTCTGTCTCCCTCCCTCTCTCTCTTTCTGCATGTATATATATCTACACACATATATATATATATCCCCATGTACCCATGCCTTTTTCCAGAATCTCAGCTTCTGCAGAAAGGCGTGGGTTACTGGGATCGGGTGAGTGTCTCAAACTCTGTAGTACGTATATAAGCAGACGAGCTCGAAATATACTTTATGTAGTATGCATAAGCCCGTAAGTTGCACTCCGGACAAGATGAAATAAGATGAAACGCATTCAAAACGCATTCAACTTGAACACGCTTTTGGATTCAAGATTCAAGATGCCCGGGCAAGTTCTCCCGGGCACCTTGAATCTTGAATCTTGAGTCCAAAAGCGTATTCAGTTGAATACGTTTTGAATGAATTCTAATGCGTTTCAAATATTGGGGAATTTCAAGCACGGGGGTGGCATATGCATATATGTAGCTTATTTTTTCCCATAATATATGCTACCCCCCCCCCCCCCCACCCCCTCGAATTGACCTATGCATTTTTGGTGTTTTCGGAACTGCTGGTGAGCATGAGGCATCTGAGATGCCGTTTTGCGATGGTGTTATCAAAACAGACTTTTTTCCGAAGAAGCGGGAAATCAATAGAGGTTCCCGTTTTGTATTGCTGTGAGTGTTCTTGCGAGTGTTTGGAGCTAGCATACTTCTTTCCAGTCTGCACGCTGAAATCCTTATGAATTCGCAATCACTTCTTGTATAACAGCGTTTTCGTTGAAGATGAGGAGGTCATCTTGGACACATGCTATTTTTTTATGAAGGGTCTTTTGCTAGAAAAGAACAAGATGATGGAAAAAAATGTTGTAGTTAAGGGAAGCTAGCCAAAAGAGGCTCATCGGCGTATGATGATGCTTTTGTGTGTTTAGACGGGGCTCCATCTTCTAAGAAATCAACAGAGGTTTCTATGTGCATTTTAGAACACTAACAGAAGACAAGCTACAAGCAGAACACATCTTGAGTAGAAGGGCATTCTCTCATTCATGGAAAGGCAGCGAAAATTTAGGCGCTTTATCCACAACGAGAAACAGGGCAAGAGGAGCGTCTCCTGTGGCATCAAGGGGAGCAAAGCCAATAAAGGCTCGTCCGTTCATGATTCTCAAACAACATCTTCAGAATGTTGCTCTATGCATTTAATGAAAAGAAGAGAATGCGTTGCAGATTCTTTTTGCATTACTATGAGCATCAGAATACTTCGTAGTTCTTGGCAGTTTTGAGCAAAGGTTTGCGGTTCGCAGGCAGCGAACTTGTTGCATGTCTTCTCTCACGCTTTTTGTGCTACAGGGCAGGAAAATAAGCAAAACCTCTTGAATATGAGGCTTGCTTCTGTGAAATTTGTTCGAGAACAACATGGACGTAGCAAAATCCAGAAGGAACGGAAGAGCAGGGTCTTGTAGCAGGGCTCTCTCACCTCATAGTGACAAGCAAGAAATGAATAGGGGCTTCTTTTGAGCATCCATGCCCGCCCGATGATAACGTCCATGTTACCACTCCGTGCGAGTGGCCAGCGCATCCATGCCCGCACGATGGTAACGTCCATGTTACCACTCCGTGCGAGTGGCCAGAATGTTACCGCTCTGTGCGAGTGGCCAGAGCATCCATGCCCGCACGATGATAACGTCCATGTTATCACTCCGTTCGAGTGGCCAGAGCATCCATGCCCGCACGATGATAACGTCCATGTAACCACTCCGTGCGAGTGGCCAGAGCATCCATGCCCGCACGATGATAACGTCCATGTTATCACTCCGTTCGAGTGGCCAGAGCATCCATGCCCGCACGATGATAACGTCCATGTAACCACTCCGTGCGAGTGGCCAGAGCATCCATGCCCGCACGATGATAACGTCCATGTAACCACTCCGTGCGAGTGGCCAGAGCATCCATGCCCGCACGATGATAACGTCCATGTTACCACTCCGTGCGAGTGGCCAGAGCATCCATGCCCGCACGATGATAACGTCCATGTGCGAGTGGCCAGAGCATCCATGCCCGCACGATGATAACGTCCATGTTACCGCTCCGTGCGAGTGGCCAGAGCATCCATGCCCGCACGATGATAACGTCCATGTGCGAGTGGCCAGAGCATCCATGCCCGCACGATGATAACGTCCATGTGTCCATGCCCGCACGATGATAACGTCCATGTGCGAGTGGCCAGAGCATCCATGCCCGCACGATGATAACGTCCATGTAACCACTCCGTGCGAGTGGCCAGAGCATCCATGCCCGCACGATGATAACGTCCATGCGCGAGTGGCCGGAGCATCCATGCCCGCACGATGATAACGTCCATGTAACCACTCCGTGCGAGTGGCCAAATCATCCATGCCCGCACGATGATAACGTCCATGTTACCACTCCATGCGAGTGGCCAGAGCACCCATGCCCGCACGATGATAACGTCCATGTGCGAGTGGCCAGACCATCCATGCCCGCCGATGATAACGTCCATGCGCGAGTGGCCAGAGCACCCATGCCCGCACGATGATAACGTCCATGTTACCACTCCGTGCGAGTGGCCAGAGCATCCATGCCCGCACGATGATAACGTCCATGTGCGAGTGGCCAGACCATCCATGCCCGCACGATGATAACGTCCATGTGCGAGTGGCCAGAGCATCCATGCCCGCACGATGATAACGTCCATGTTACCACTCCGTGCGAGTGGCCAGAGCATCCATGCCCGCACGATGATAACGTCCATGTGCGAGTGGCCAGAGCATCCATGCCCGCACGATGATAACGTCCATTTGCGAGTGGCCAGAGCATTTATGTCCGCAGGATGATAACGTCCATGTTACCACTCCGTGCGAGTGGCCGGAGCATCCATGCCCGCACGATGATAACGTCCATGTGCGAGTGGCCAGCATCCATGCCCGCACGATGATAACGTCCATGTTACCACTCCGTGCGAGTGGCCAGAGCATCCATGCCCGCACGATGATAACGTCCATGTGCGAGTGGCCAGAGCATCCATGCCCGCACGATGATAACGTCCATGTGCGAGTGGCCAGAGCATCCATGCCCGCACGATGATAACGTCATGTGCGAGTGGCCAGAATTTATGTCCGCAGGATGATAACGTCCATGTTACCACTCCGTGCGAGTGGCCAGAGCATCCATGCCCGCAAGATGATAACGTCCATGTGCGAGTGGCCAGAGCATCCATGCCCGCACGATGACGCTACTCCGTCTGGTATTTCTTTTTGTTTTTGCACCTGCGAAAATATGTCTAATCATAGTTAGCCTTTGCAGCTCAAAGCCCAATGCCTTCTGATACATAAACCTCTGCAGCCGAAAGCCCAAAACCTTAAACTCTCAACACTAAACCCTAAACCCTCGGCAGAGCGAGATAGTTCTGCAGCCGAAAGCCCAAAACCTGAAACTCTCAACCCTAAACCCTAAACCCTCGGAGCCATGCAGGCCAATGCTTGAAACCCTAAACCCTCAACCCCAAACAGAGCGAGATAGTTCTGCAGCCGAAAGCCCAAAACTCCAAAACCTTCAACCTTCAACCTTAAACCCTAAACCCTCGGAGCCAAAAAGTACATTTTCGGATGCTTCCTTGATGCTAAAAAACCAAAAAAAAACACCGAAAAAACGATGAATATTCTCTTCAGTGCTCTCCGAGCCATGAAAAAAAAGTAGAAATAGGAACCAATTTTCCAACATGCTGAAATGCAAAAACATCGAGTCTTTTGACCTTTTAAAAGAAAAACTAACGAACGTTTCGCGGCCCCAAACGCGCCGCATGCCTTTTCCAACGCTAATGATTCATTCCACAAGAAGCTTCTCGACAAATAGTCTTTCATGACAGCAGCTTCTAAAGGAAAGGGGAAGGGCGTCTTCCGTAGCATTAAAGGAACAAAGCTCATCGAGGCTTGCACACTATGCGTAGTCTGTATCAAGGCCTGGTTTCATGAAAGGCTTCCAGAATGTTCAGTCTCAGGGTCGGTCTACTTCAGCAAAAGCTGGCAAAACCAACATTTTCTGAAAAGTCTACATATTTCTTGAAAGTCTGGTGATCTCATAATCAGGTTTCCTTCTCATCAGGTTTCAAAAAATGCAGAATTTTCAGACAATGCTGGTAAAACCAACATTTTCTGAAACTCTACTGCAGAAAATGATGGTAAAACCAACATCTTCTGAAACTCTTTCGCACCTGAGCAGGACAAAAAGAAAGAAAAGGCATAGGTCAATGGGGGGGGGTACCATATAATATATACACATATTATGTATATATCTACATAATATATATATATATATATGCATATATACATATAGATATCTGCGTGCATCGTGCTTCAGTCCGCGGCCGTCCCGTGCCAGATCCCGCGCCATGGAAGCTGTTGCAACCCCCCAGCTGTGCAGCAGCGCACTCTGTCGCGTGCGGTCGTGGGCAGGGAGCTCACAGGCTTTTAAGTGCTCCTTTGAGCCCGTTGAAAGAGACAGAGAGAGAGAGAGAGAGAGAGAGAGAGAGAGAGAGAGAGCGAGATAAAGTTTTGCAGGAGAAACGCCCCAAGAAACCCCAACAAAGTCGATGCAGGAATGTATAGAGTAGAAACCAGGGCGATCTTGAAGTGAGAAAGGCGCACAGACATTGCTTACAAGCCATCATGAAACTGGGGGCACAGGGAAAACCATGTTTGGGAGAAAACCCTGTGCTCCACACCGTAGAAGTGCCGTCGTGTGCAGCATCCCGAAAGAACAACGTGATTCTCATAGAGTCGTGAACTTGCTTTCTGACTTGTGAGAGCAAGTCCAGAGCCTTCCTTAGTTCCCCCCCTTCCGGCTCCTCGGCCGCTTTCGCCATGGCTTTCTCGCCTCAGTCGTCGCGCCTCTAAGTCGAAGTCTTAGACACCCTTTTCCCACTTCCTGTACACCTCACCTCTCAGGGAAACGGGCTGGGGACCACACACACACACACACACACATCCAAATTTTCCCGGAAACTAGGTTCAGGCGCTTCTCCAAAGGCGCGCTTCTCTCTGAGGTACAGGCCCATGGTGAAGGAACAACCCAAGCGACGTGGTGCGAGTCAGATGCCCCGTAGCAAGCACTTCCGTTCTTTGATTCGTTGAGGCGGCGGGGCGGCGGCGGGGCGGCGGATGCAGAATCAACAAGGGGCTTTGAGTTTGGACGGAAAAACCACGGCGAGACCACGCCCTTGCTCTGCGCACAGTGGTTTGCACATTCCGCCAGGTCCGCGCACAACACTTCCTTATTGAAGCCCGGGCAATTACTTTCCCCGCTATGAGGCGGCAAAATTCTAATAGAACAAGGAGTGAATGCTCTCAAAAAGTGTACAAGGGTGTGTGTGTGTGTGCTCAATCGAGGGGATTCTCTCCATCTCAGTGCTCCCCCTCTGGCCCGCATCGGCATCTGCGGTTGCGGGGATGCCTACAGCAAGGGACTCTCTCTCTCTCTCTCTCTCTCTTTCCCTACAGACAATGAGAGCACTCAAAAAGACACACCCTTTGAGTGACGGCTGCGCCAGCTGCGGCGGCTGCGCCGGAGCCGCAGAGCACTGAGAGACCCCATGGTGTTGTGAGTCCATGCCGGACGTCAACTACTCAGAAAAGTCTGTGGCGTGGCTCAACGCGCATCGCTGCAGGCAACACACTGCGCACAAAGAGAGCGTCTTTTCAGCAACATTCAAACGCTGCATTCTGAGGAATTGGGTGCGCTGCGCACGGGTGTGCGCAGGCGTGCACGGCTCCCGGCCATGTTTAAAAACAAGGGGCGCGTTGGGACGCATCAAGCGGACCCGCAGCGTGCCTTGAGTGAGACGGCGAAGCAAGTCCGAAATATAACTTTAAGGGAGAGCGAAAGACGCTGAGAGTGAGAGAGAGAGAGAGAGAAAAGAGGGAGAAGGACAGGACCTGAGAAGAGAGGAGCAGAGAACCAAGAACGACAAAAGACCCAAAGGAGATCCAAAAAGTCCAAGGGAGACAGGAGGAGCACGTGGCTCGGGCTGAGATAATAAGCAATTGGGGTTGGGCCACAGCGCCCGGGCTTGGAGCGCTCCCTGGTCAGCCGCAACATTGCCGCAACATATCATGTGGATTTTACGCCGATTCCAAGTGATTTGATGTGCCCTCTTGACCTTTACTCACCCCCACTTCGGCTTCAGGGATCGCCCTCAGCAAAGATCACCCAGTTCCCGGGGCCGGGCCTGAGGTGACACCGCGAGCCTTTAATGTTTGAAGAAGTTTGAAAGGTGAAGCTGCGCAGGGCTACTCACGGAAATGGATCAGAAGAATAGTCGTGTCGTCCACCAGCTCGTCGCCTTCGGCGCGTCGCACCGCCTTCACTGCCCAGAGATGCACAGATGCACAGAGACTCGCCCTGAGCATTCCGCTATATTATGCTATATTTCCTCCGATTTCCTGGCTGTTCAGCTGCTGTTCGATTTGCCATTCCGCTCCTCGGTGAGGGCTTTCAAGGCGATGCTTGGCATGGTCTGGAACTTGGCGACGATGCGCACCGCCTCTGGCGAGGTCGAGACAGACATGTGAGTCGGTGCCATCTTATGCTCTCTTTCTTGACTCTTTGGTCTGAGCCTCCTCGTTGTCCACGGAGTCCCAAAGGCCATCCGTGGCGATGATCAAAAACTTGTCCTTGTCACCCCATGCGCAACAATGCTGCAACAGTGCTGCAACAGTGCTGCAACAGTGCTGCACTGAGCAGAGCCTGCCCCTTCAGCAGCCTGTGCTTCGTCACCTGCGCATTCGGTGAAGAGTCCCCGAATGTGTGTGTGTGTGTGTGTGTGTGTGTGTGTGTGTGTGTTGCGTTCCAAGTCTTGGTCTGTGGGCTCTAAGACTCTAAGAGGGCGCACCACGGGCGCAGCAATGACGCCCAGAGCACGCGCGGCACCGTCACCCAAGCTGCGGGACCTGGGCTTCTCAAGTGCGGCTCAAGGCTTTCCCCCCCCCTCCCCCTATTTAACACTTATGTAGAAGAAGGAGATTCCAAAAAGGCCAATTTTCGAAGTAAGGAGATTCTAGGAGGGGAAGGCGGTTTCTCCGTTAAAAAGAGACTCCTCCTCCTCCCGCCCTCCACTCTGAGGCTCTGGGGGCCCCGGGCACTGCCAGGCCCGGCTTCTCGCAGCAGGGCCCGTCCCAGACCTCTCAACAAAACGAGAAAAGAGAACACGAACAAAACAAATTGGACTCAAGAAAGAGACAAAGAGAGACAGAGAGAGAGAGAGAGAGATGTGTGTGTGTGTGCTGTTTGCGAGTAGCGAATGTGAAGGCGAGAGGCAACAGTTCTCCAAGCTTTGGTGCATGGAAACAAACGACCCTCTTTCGGCCAACAGGAATGTGGAATGCGTTGCAATCTGGATTCCCGTATGCTTTGCAGAGCATCCGTGGGAGGTTTGCTACGTGGTGCTGTCGTTTGCAACAGTTGGCACACGCAACGCCTCCTCCCTGCTTCATTAACAATGGGGTGGAAACTTTCGCTTGGTGAGTAAGCAACTTTGAAGCCTGCAGTTTTTGCACCATTAATGGGTCCCGCTCTTTCGAAGTTTGACCTTTGGGACAACATTCTTGTTCGAAGAACATCAGCTCATCAGTTACACCTCTCGAGGTACAAAGCTAGGCTGAAGAGCCTGCTTACGGCTGAATCCTCCAGACGTCCCTTCTCTGGGAGAGAACTCTGCTGTAGGAGAGCCCCCCTACGAAAGTCATCCTCGGGACAATGCGAGTCCTCTTCTGCGGCCATAGCAGGACGCGCACAGGCAAAGATGGAAATCCACACCAGGTGCAGTGAGGTTGCCTCCTGCGTTACCTAGGATCCTTCGCTTTTTTCCTATCCATCTCCCTCAACTAGCACGAACACTACCACAGCCTGCTGCTGCAAATTCTCGCAATGCTCATGTTGCAGCCTGGCTGTTTCTCTTTAGGGCGACAATCTTTGATAGCCAACGTCGACTTCCGCCGCCGCTGCCGCTGCCGCCGCCGCCGCTGCTGCTGCTGTTGCTGTTGCTGCTGCTGTTGCTGCTGCTGCCGTTACTGTTGCTGTGATTGTTGCTGCTATTCTTGCTGCGGTTGCTGCAATTGCTGTGGTTGCTGCCGCTGCCGCTGCAGCTGCCGCTGCCGCGCTGGCGCCGCCACCGCAGTTGCTGTTGCTGTTGCTGTTGCTGTTGCTGTTGCTGTTGCTGTTGCTGCCGCAGTTGCTGTTGCTGTTGCTGTTGCTGTTGCTGTTGCTGTTGCTGTTGCTGTTGCTGTTGCTGTTGCTGTTGTCGTTGTTCTTCTTCTTCTTTGCCACAGATTTCTCCACTCTTAGCTCTCGAAAACGAGCTCTCCACGCTCAGGCACGGGCCCGGAAAGGTCCGGCCTGTGGATGCGAGATTAAGAGGAGCATTGTGTGCGTACGCATGTGACAATGTGACAATGTTGAAGGTGTGCAGCGAGACCTCCTCGCCAGATCCGTCCCTGTACTGACACACGACACCTGGACAAGCGGAGTAAATTCGGAATTTACATGCGACAAGTGCTTCGACGTGCTCGATGGGCGCTCTCCTCAAGACTTCTCAATTCCAACGGCCTCCGCTGAGCTCTATGCGCTCTCGCTCCTCTTCGAATCTTCGAAGTAAGCGAAACAACTGGACAACACATCGAAACAGACACTTCAAGACACTTCGCAACACTTCGAAACACTCTTCAAACAACCAGCAGAAAAGAGGGTGGCAGAAACCGAGTCTCGGGGAGTCCTCGGGCATCTCGGGCTTTAGGTCCGTGGTGAGCGGTACGGCCTCAGAAGGGGTGGTGGAAGTGCTTTGTATCAGAAGTGGCTCAGAAGCGTCTTTCTGTCTATTTTCCTGCCTCTCGTCTCTGAGCCACCGGGCGCGCCACTGCGAGCCCTCGAGACGGCCCAGAACCGCACGGGAGTCCCCGACCTCACGTGCAAAGAGCAAAGAGCAGAGACCGAGGGTGTGTGGAGTGTGTGGAGTGTGTGGAGTGTGTGGAGTCTGCGGAGTATGGGCGCTTCCCGCTTTTTGAACGCCGGCCGCAAATGCGTAGGGTTCAGTCGGTTCTGTGGAAGGGCTGAGTGTCTTTCTGATTCTCCAGGCGGCTGAGCCTAAGTTGTCCTGGATCAAGTGTTTAATCCCGCGACATGCTCAAGCTTGTCCATGATCATGATCGGATATAGGAGAGCCTCTCCCCTCTCCCTTTCCCTGTCTCTCTCTATCTCTCTCTCTGTGCCTCTCTCTCTCGCTTTCGCACTCTCTCACTCCCTCTCACTCCCTCTCACTCCCTCTCACTCCCTCTCACTCCCTCTCACTCCCTCTCACTCTCTCTCACTCTCTCTCACTCTCTCTCACTCTCTCTCACTCTCTCTCTCTCTCTCTCTCTCTCGCGCTCTCTCTCCCTCGCTCGCTCGCTCGAGAGCCCCCCCGTTTGGGGCTTCCTCAGCTAAAGCCTTTAAACTCTGACCGCCCTTAGTCTCTAGGTCTCTTCCGGCTCCTTTGCAAAGCTGGCGCCCAGGCATTGGCAGCGGTGAGGAGGGACTGACCTTTTCAGAAGTTGCACCAGCAAAAACATGCGTGAATCTGTCAAGGCGAAGCTATATAATATTATGGCCTTTGTCCACAAGGACCACCACGCCCGTGGAGCCACTGTACCTTCCAAGGCAAAAAGAGAGAAAGAGAGAAAGGGAGAGAGAGGGAGAGAGGGGGAGAGAGGGGGAGAGAGGGGGAGAGAGGGGGAGAGAGGGGGAGAGAGGGGGGAGAGAGAGAGGGGGAGAGAGGGGGAGAGAGGGGGAGAGAGGGGGAGAGAGGGGGAGCGACGGAGAGAGAGGGAGAGAGAGAGGGAGGAGGAGGAGGAGGAGGGAGGAGGAGAGAGGAGGAGAGAGGAGGAGAGAGGAGGAGGGAGGAGGAGAGAGGAGGAGAGAGGAGGAGGGAGGAGGAGAGCATGCGCAGATGAGCATAGGAGAACTTCAAGTCCTCCTTTTTCAATCTCTGGGGGACATTCTGGATATCTGAATAGAAATTGTTGCAGGGAAGCAGACAACAACCAAAACAGCGTCGCGCTCTTTCATGTCAAGCGTGACGGTCGAAGCAGTAGAAATTCAGAAACACAAAGACACGATCACAAACGCTTCCAGAGTTCTCTTGAAATCGAGGCGCTCGACGTCGGAGCCCATCTTGGCGTAAATGTCATCATCCGTGCTCCGGAAGGCATCCTGCACACCGCTGGATTCCAGCCTTGAGCCCCCTTCAAAGATCCATGTTCATCCCTTGTCAGCCCTTTGTTGACAAGACTTCTTCAGAATTCTTAAGAATTGTTCAGCATTTGTCCTAGAACTGAAGATTGAAGATTGCCCAGGAATCTACAATTCTCAGCTTTCATTTTCTTAAGAACTCTTAAGAATTCTCGAAAATCGAAGATTTCTGGGAGACTCTTGCTCAGGAATCTTCAGCTGTATTCTTATATAGATGGAAATCGAAGATTTCTCACCAGAGTCTCCCAGGACTCTTCAATCTTCAATTTTCAGGCTACGGTCTTAAGAATTCTTAAGATTTCTTAAGAATTCTTAAGAATTCTTAGGAGATGTTGAGAACTTCGGGGAATGACAACTGAGAATTGAAGATTCCTGGGCAAGAGTCTCCCAGAAATCTTCAATCTTCAGTTTCAGTATTAATTCTTAAGAATTCTTAAGAACTAATCCTGCAATGATAATATTACGACACTTAATCCTCAATTAAATGATAACAGAAAATTGAAGATTCCTGGGCCACAGTCTCCCAGAAATCAACTTCCACGCCTCAATCACATGCAGCTACTTGCACGAATCGCTTTGATCCCGGTTCCGAAACGGCCCTCGAAAACACTCGGTACTTGGGTTTCGGAACTTTGTTCCCGAGCCAGGTACCGGCAGCGGCTGCCAGAAGAGGAGTTGAAAAGAGAAGCTGGGCGGCGGCAGTGCTATCAGGGAGTGTTCGAACACCCTCAAACCGAGACTGGCAAACCTCGGGGCGAGGCGCTTGTGGCTTTCGTTGCAAAGCTGCGGGGCAGCCGGGCAGCCCCGGGCAGCCCCCCCTGTATGGACTTCCAGAGAAGAGCCCTGTGCACCCGGTGGCACCCACCCCGATCCAGAAGCTCCGCGAGTTGCGAAGTGGGGCGAAGTGGGTTCGCGTTCGCCTGTTCTCACTCATGACCTCTTCAGGTCGCTACAGGTCGTGTGCCGCGGTGTTGTGGTCGGTGCGGGTGTATTCGGTGTACAAGCGGAAGTGTCCTGTAGATTCGGGATCTGGAGCAAATATCGGGGCCGAAGGGGATCATGGGTGGAGCCAGTCCGGGAAAGACAGCCAACCAATACTGCTGGTTTCCCCTGAGTTCTTGCAACAGTTTCAGGGGAACGGTTTGGTTGCCGTGATCGAACTCGGGGATGTGCAGGGGGTGGAAGGCTTTCCCGATTTTCGCCGGAGGCAAACTGCGCGTTCCTCGCTCAGTGTCGTACATGAGCCCCAAATCAGTTTTGGGTCTCGAGAGCTCCTTCTATTTTGTCTTCTTCAGGGTTGATGGATTTCTGCCACTTGGGTTACAACGCCTAAATCTTAAAGCCTAAACCTTGAAAAAACAAATAACCCTCTGGGGTAGAAAGGTAAAGGGACTTAAGCCTACAAGCATTCGGACGCGGATCTTGGGGGGGGGGGGAGGATATCTCATGAAACTATAGAGATGAGACATAAAATACATAAAATCATAAAGCCATGGATCTTTGAGGAGTAGCAAAAACATCCGCCGACCCCCGTCGGCGTCAGCGAAACTCACCCAGTGCTGCCCTACTCTGAGTGCTTGCGCCTTGCTTGTACCCTTGCACCTGCGCTGGAGACCCTTGCACCTGCTGTGAGTGACACCCCTTAGCTGTGCTGTGATGCTCCAGCACACCTCGTCCATTACGGGGCATACATCCCGTGCTAGTCGAACCGTGCGGAGCACAGTAGGGCCGGACGGTGCGTTTTCCATAAAATGGGATAGCCAGGATGCTTGGGAAGCATCAGCGGGTTCAGTCCGCGACCCCCAGCCGCGCATCAGGAGCATCAGCGGCCCCAGTCCGGGACCCCGGTGCGCATCATGAACATCAGCGGCTCCCGCCTTGGATGATATGGCTGGTATTGAGGCATCTTAGCCTTTTCAATTGTTGCGGCTTGGGGTGTTAAGGCTTCGAGGTCTTTTGACATGACCCCGGCGCCAAACCCGTGTATTCCGACTATGAAACCCCGTAAAAGACGCAGGTCGGGCGGGCGGGCGCGTGCACCCCCCCCCTTCCCCCTCCCGGTTTGCAGCGGCATTGGCGGCAGCCTTTAAAAGCATAATAAAAGAACAACTTTCCTCGAGCTTCTGCCTGCGCTGCCCGCCCATGGGCGCTGCCCCTTCAATCTTGTGTATATCGTTTTGAAAAGAAATATATGCCACCTGTTCTTTAGGGGATGTGGCCCCTATTCCAGGGCCTTTGTTTTTCACACTTCAAGGGCTGGATTTCCGCACTTCAAAAGGGCATTTTTCCGCACTTGCAGCTCGTTCCCCACCCTCGGTGTGGGGTTGTTAGATTCTCAACTCAACTCTTCTCCTCGCCCGGAACTCTTCTCCTCGCCGGGTCTACTCCTCACTCATCCCTGGAGTGCCCAACCCCAATTGTCCCTGGAGTGCCCAACTCCAACCCCAGATTCTCCCTGCAGTGCCCAACCCCAGAGTCTCCCTCCAGTGTCCCCGCAGTGCCCCAAAGTTTCCCTGAAATGCCCAACCCAAGTTTGCCTGAATTACCCAGCCCCAGGTCTCCCCGGAGTGCCCAACCCCAGAATATCTCTACCAAGAGAGGGTGGGGATGTTCGAAAAAAAAAAGTTTGTTCCATATTACGAGTGCTGTTATATAGAAAATGCTGAACGTTGGCAAAAACACGTGTTGAATTTGCAGAAATACTCAAGGAAAAGTGTGAAATCGCGGAAACATTTGCGGAAAAGCTGTGGGGAACGCGGAAACATTGGCGGAAAAAGCGGGTGGGAAGCGGGGAAACATACGCAGAAAAAAAGCTGCAGAAAATGAGGAAGCATTTTGTGGAACAAGTGGTGGGAAATGCGGAAACATGTGCGGAAGAAGTTCTGTGAAATGCGCACAAAAAGTTGTAAACAACGCGGAAACCTTTGCGAACGAAAACTGTGCAAAATGAGGAAACAAGTGCGGAAATAAAGTTGCCGCAAACCCGACCACTTTCGCGCATATTCCAATCTTCCGCGCATGTTTCCGCGAATTCCTCACAAATTCTTCCGCAAAATTTCCGCGTTTCCTACAACTTGTTCTGCAAATGTTTCTGCGTTTCCAACTTTTCCCACAAATGTTTCCGCGCGTTCCACATTTTCGACAACTTGTTCTCGCGTCTCCCACAACTTTTCCCGCAAACGTTTCAGCACTTCCCACAACTTCTTCCGCAAAGGTTTCTGCATTTCCCACAATTCTTTCCGCAAATGTTTCCGCGTTTTCCACACATCTTTCCGCGTTTCCTTTGTGGAGAAAACTTGTGTGGAAAAGACTCTCCGCAGAAACAGCATCTCTGATAGGTCCGCAACGTTGCGTGATACAGCACGATTGATTGTGCCAAGGATGTGGACAAAGAATCCCCCCGAAAGCCCTATACTACCATACCTATATTTGCCTTGGCGTGGGGCCTCTACAGAAGCATGCCAATTAGTTGGCGCCCCCCCCCCCTGTATGTATACATACAACATAGCATATGTATACACAAATGAAGAAGAAAACATCTCACGTTAACCAGCCTTTGAGGCGTCCACCGTACGGGGGCAACCGAAAGGGGAAAAGGAAGAATATCAACCCTTAACAGCTGCCTGAATGAACTCCCCGAACCGAACCACACAACAGAGGGATCAAGGTATATGAAGAGGGAAGGGGAAGGAAACCCAAGGTTCCTCCTAAACCCCAAACCCAAGCACTCGGACTTTTTGACGGACGGACAGGCCATCCTTGAGCCAAATTAAATAGCGGGTGTTGCAACCCTTCCAATTCTACCTGTTGTACAAACTGCAGCTCCGCACTCCCCCTGTCCCAGACATTGCTGGGACACCTTTGGAGATGCTGCAAACAGGCCAAAAACTGTCTTTTCCTGACAGCAGCCAACTGCCTTCTTTTTTTGGCCTTTTTTTGGACATCTCACGGACATCGCATCCCTTTTTTGGGCATGCACATAGTGGTTTTACGTCATCCAGGACGAATGAATTAAGTTTCTCAAACCTCATTGGGTAAGACTTTCTACCGTTAGGGATTTCCTAACCCTTAATGGCGAAAACTCTAACCTTTCCAGTTCGACGCAGTGGTCTTTCCTCCAAACATTCTGCAAATCGTCACCATATCTTTGGAAAAGGATTCATCCTTTTGTATTCCATCCTTGAAAACCAGTCACTTCTGCGCCTCCCGACCAGCTTCGCAGATTCGATGTAGCTGCACCAAGATGCTCTCAAGATCCTTGACCTGAACCAACGGATCGTTCAAACATCGCTGAATAGAGGATACCAATCCTTCTCGCCGTGCTTCTTCTATCGCTTTACACGATGTGGTCACCTGTGTCGTTGTGGCAACCGACTCCGATGCAGCGGGAACAGAAGCCTGTCCCTTCTTTCCGGACTCTCCTCCTTCTTCTGGTGCTACATCCCTTCTCTTGGGACTTGATGCCTTCTCCTTCTTTTGTGACCTATTTGCAGAAACACCAGGTTTTGACCGTGTCCGATGAGAAGACTTCTCCGCCTTGGGAATTGCCACCTTTTTTGACGACAAACCCACTTCCCCACGATCCACATTGATTGGCCTTTTCTTAGGCCTTGGGGCCAGCGCAGTATATGGATCATGCGTTGCAGCGGCAGCTTTCCTCTTCTTTTTGTTCTTCTCCGCCTCCTCATCGACCTCGACAATCACTTCTGTGACCTCTGGCACTACCTCCTCAACTGCAGGCTCATCAGCTGACTCTTCCTCCAATGGCATTTTTTTTTTACCAATTTTGGGGTCGCCTTTACCCTCCAGCTGAGCTTTTTCGTACCATACTCTCAAATCATTTGTCCACTCTTCGACCTCTGCCAGCGGAATATCACAGGATCTGACCACCTCGTACAATTCCAGCGTAGAATACATCTTATCCGTCCATGAAAGCCACTCCTCATTTTTCTGATCTTCGTCAGTAATCCGTTTGAAAAAACTGAATACATTTCACACCAGTCGCATCGTGCGCGTATTTGCAATCTTTACCAGCATGACACCCTCGTCCATCCACATAGTACCTACACCAGTACGAAGCTAACACCACATCCTCTCTGGAATGAATAAATTTGCAGTTCTCACCAAACTTGCAGCGATCGTTCCCGTTGTTAAACCAATAGCAGATACCTTGCCTCCTTTTTGTCAGGCGTTCTGCTTCCAGACGGTCATCGAACGATCCCGCTCTGCATGGACATTGCCATCACTTGGAGAACTACCTTCTTCACCCAAGGTGCTAGTTGTGGATGCTTCAGTGGAACTTCCTGGAAAACCTTTCTGATGCTCACGCAATCCCATGATTGGTTTTCTCCTGGCTCCTGAGCCAAGTACAACCGAACCACGTTTTTTGGGCATCTTCAGGGAGGTCTTCCTTACTCCAGAGTTCCACACCCGATTAGCTGGAATAGTTGTCCCAACAACCTGACTTCCAAACCCTCCAGCACGACACAACTTCCTTTGACCAGCCCTAAACCCTTTCCACCAAAGAGCTCTAAGGACTTTAGAGGCAGTTACGTTTTCCACCTCAACCTCTTCCAACTGTCCCTCACTTTCTGGAACAAACCCATCCAACTCACTCATATCTGAAGACATTTCCAACTTTTTTACCACCACGTGATCGAGGTGATCTTCAGAAATCCAGGGCACGTTCCCCTTTGAGGAAGTTGAACTATCACCATTTGATGGTCCTTCGCCAGGATAGCCTTTTGTGCCGTCGAAAATTTCCCAGTTGAACGGTCTGGATCGAAAATTCCCAAATACAAGTTCCACAATACCATTCTTGTGCCAGACAGTCTCGACGTGCCACCGGTCGTCTCATCCTCCGGAGAAACTTCTGGCGCTTCAGTTGGAAGAGGAGTTTCACTACTCCTTGGTCCAAAACCGTTTCTTGCTGTCCAGAGATCTCCAACACCATCCCCGACAGATCCACCTCCTCATCATCATCCTCCATTCGTTTCAAGAGCTCCTCCAGTTCATCAGCACACGTGGCCGCTTGAAGGAATTCCATTAACCGATCCCTTCCATCTTGCCAGAGAAATTCCGAATTTACCACAGTCCCTTGGCCGCCAAGGACAATGAACGGATGCACCAGTTTTGCTACCCAAACCATCAACTCGGATCGTCATGAAACGGATGATGTAATTCACTGTAATATCCCTTCTTTGAAAAAGGAGCTTCCCAGTTTCCAACCGGGCATTCAATT